GGTCAACATCCTTATAGAAGAGGTCCCAGAGAGCTCTCTCACCCCTTCCATTATGTGAGGATACATAGAGAAGTCTGTAACCCAGAACCCAGAACAGGGCGCTTACTCCACCATGATGGAGCCCTGATCTAGGACTCCCAGCCTCCTGAACTGGGGAAATACATTTCTGTTGCTTAAAGCTACCCAGTCTGTGTATTTTGTTAGAGAAGCCCAATGGATACTAACTTAGAAATTAATATATGTTTTTTAAAGATTTATTTATTTATGCATACAAGGGCTGGGATACAGGCCAGACCTCTGGGGTCTGGGGTGGTGGTGAGAGGATCCACCAGAGACACCAGGGAGCAGAACAGGCAGACTGACTAAAATACACTGTGGAGGGGAGTAGCAAGCAAGAAAGGAGAGGTCTGCTGTGCCATGTGGGTATCTCCCTCACTGGCTGGGGATTTAACTCGTGCTGCAGAGGCTGCAGATAGCTTCAGAGTGCTATGCTTAACCTCTTGCACCACTAGGGAGGCCCAGGAATTTGTATTTTCTAAGATGATTCATCTGGTAAAAAAAACATGTAGGAGAGTTCTATTGCATTCAGTGTACTGATAATCAATTATCTTACCAGTGTAAGTAGAGACTATTCAAAATGACTTTGATAACAACCAAATCTTCCACTAATTGAACCATAGGCAGTACTGTGAAACAGTCTGAAAAGCAATGGATTTTTGAGGAGAACAGTATATGAGCAGATGATGATGACTGGAGTAACATTTTGTTTGACACATATCATGTACAAGGAACTTGCATATCACAGCAAAACTATACATTAGATATGGTCTCTAATTTAGAGTCAAGAAAGTTGAGACTTAGTGAGTTGAAATAACTTGTTCAAGGTTCACACTGTTAACAGCAGATAAAAGATTTTTATCAAGGATGATCAGAAGCCATAGCCAGTGAGTTTTCTCTTTTAACATGACACAGGCAAGCTATGGCTTCTGGGAGATAAGGGCAAAGAGAAAAATATATAGTAATTAGTGATTCTGGATATGCTTTACAGATATTCTTTATAGAATAAAGTCATTGTCTCATTACCTTTCAAATATTTTAGCACAAGCAACTATGTGTGCATTTGTATGTATATGTACACAAATATACATACACACATATACATACACATACACAAACACACACACAAAGGACTAAAAGAACGTTTCAGAACCAAATCAAGCATCTTAAATCTCACTACAATCCAAAAGTTACTATAAGTACATGCCAACTATCACTACTCAATTTATAGTTAAAAAAAGCTTGTTAATTGTCATGAAGAGATATAAGGAACAAAATTCCCAGGCAGAGTTCTGGGTAAGATATGTCAGTTAGTTTAAAATGTATATAAAGACTTGTTGCTTACGGAATCCAAAATAGCAGAAGCCAGGTAAGAACTTTTTTACATTAGATCTATTGTTATAAAGGCATCTATGACATACCACCCCCAAATAGGGTCTGGGTGACGAGCAAAAAACACATTAATATTTTGCAATTAGAAATAAGACCATTCTCAGTAAGTGGGGTAAAGCAAAGACTAGTCAATAGCCTCATGTCAATTCAAAGCTTTCGGTTTATCAAAGTGTACTGAATTCTGGCAGCATAGATAAACGGACTGTGGATGAAAAGCCAACTTAGTTAGGCCAAATGTAATTCATATGAAACATTTCCTTACAACTGATATTAAACAGGGCCTCCTTGGTGGCACAAGGGGTTAAGCAATGCACTGTGAGGCAATCCTCAGCTGCGGCAGCATGACTTCAATCCCTGGTCAGTCCGGGAGCAACCCACATATTGCAGCAGAACTCTCATGTCTCACCTGCTGCTCCCTTCAGCGAAGTATTTCTGTCTCTGATGAATCCTCTCACCCCCCCATCTCTGGCCTGTACCCAAGCTCTTGTATGTATAAATAATCTAAAAAAAAAAAAAAAACTGATATTAAACATATCACAAACTATGCCACAACCTCAGTGTTCTATGTGCAAATGCAATAACCACTCACCCCTGCAGAACTTGGCTGACAATGATGTAAACACAAAACAGTTGGGAGATAAGAGGAAAGGTGTGTGTGAGGCCTCCTAGCAGTTTGACGGCGGGCACAGTGCCTACGTCCTGCACTGACAACACTTAACAGCAGAGGCCCCCATATCTGTAATCAGTCTGGTTTCTAAATGCATCATAGGTAAGAAACAGTAAGTGGAGTCACAGACAGATCCCAGAGGCGTGTACACAGAGCTGCCACCAACATTAGCAGACAGTCTGCTAGCCACGATCCCATCTCTGTCTGAGCTGTGTGATCTTGGGTATTCCTTACATTCTTTGGCTTCAATTTATTCATAGACATCACATTGGTGAAAATTCTGCCTGTCTCCTACAGCTGTTGTGAGGATTAATTGAAATAATGTATGTGAAGAGTCTGACAACAAGAAGATACCCAATAAAACATACACACTAAAAAAGCACAAAACCTCAGAAGTATAGTAGTTAGAAAAAAATTACCAATTCTTCAGAATTCAAGAGTCTGGAGAGTATTATTATAATTTTGTAAAGAAAAATGTCATGTTAGCTATGCTATGTGACTTTGAACATGCCATTTTACATGCATGAGCCAGGCAGCACTGAATTAGAATTGGAAGTCTCAGCAGAAACAGTAAGTAGTTCTTTGTGACTGAGGGAAGTGGAAAAAATTCACTCTTTGTTATGTACAAAGCATAACTATAAAGTTCAGAAACAGATACATAACAAACCTACAGTATTAAAATTTCACAGAGGGCAGAGATCTGAAATGGCTTCTTAGGGGGTTAATTAAAAAAAAGACTGAGTAGGCCTTGTTTAGAAGAACTGTAAGGCTGCATATAGCTATTAATAAGCCTTTAATTTTATCTTCACAAAAATGATTGGCATTCAAAAAATGTTTAATGTATGGTCATAAACTATGTTTAAGGCAAGAAAAGATCTATATACTCTAGAAAGATTCCCAATTAGAACAAATCAAAAAATTTATAATTTTTGGATAAACATACAAAAACTATAAAAGTTGGAAATAAAAATTGTAATCATCATTATGCTTGAATAAAGAAAATCCTCTTAATACACAAATACTCCCACCATCACTCATGAAGCCATCACCCACAGTTTTGTTGTATTCTCCCTTGTTTATAGATAACTAAATCTTGTCTGAATATTAATATATTTACCAATTTCCCAAAAATTACAGGGAAAAAATGGCATAAGGAAATCTACTTGTAACTAGCATAAAATTGGAACATTGTAGTTGTCTCAGCTATGATAAATGAAAGATCATCTTGGCATGTAATTCATTTTTAATTGCCTCTTCCATCTAGCCTAACTTCTGCTGTCTTAAAATATTTACAAAGTAAAAGCAAAAAAAAAAAAATTGGAGGTGCTAAATAAACCAGGCCATACATTCTTAAGTGATCAATTTTTCTGGCATTGTTTACAACAAAAACAATGTCATAACTCTAATATGTAAAATTTTTGGAAACACATAATGTGTGCTTAAGGATGATCTCCATTTATGTTAAAGCTGTTTATTTAACTGAGATATAATTGATATCTAACATCGTATTAGTTTCAAGTATACTACATAATGATTTGACACTGGCATATACTGCAAAATGATTACCACATTAATTTTAGTAAATACTCATCACCCAATACAAAGTTACCATTTTTTTTCTTGTGATGGGAACTTTTAAGATGTACTCTCTTAGCAATTTTCAAACGTACAGTACAATATTGTTAGCTGTAGTTACCATGCTATATACTATCCCCCCAACACTTAATTATTTTAATAACTGGAAGTTTGTACAATAAAATTATTTTTAGTTCACCCTCCTCTCTGCCTTAATTTTGGATTTATTCCCATAGCCAAATAATCTCTTAGAACAGCTGTATTCAAATGCTAGAAAGACCAAGATTACATAGCTATATTGTGATTTAAATATTTGAGTTTTTGTAGTTGCTGCCCCTGCCCTGTTTCCTCCAGAATCCCAGGTATATATAGCAACACATTTAGGCTCATACACTGCCCTTATCATTCTCTTTGAGTTTTTCAAAAATGTCTACTTTATAGATTCTAACTAAAAATGGCGTCCTAAAAATGTATAAAATGTCAAAATGTTATTAAATATTAAGTCATACTTTATTACCAGTGATATATAACATAAAATGCTTGAATGTTATCCATTTTATTCACAAAATAAATGTGTTTTGATATCAAGTTAGATTTCAGGCAGTTGTAATGCATACAAATATATAAAGATGTGCGTGGAACCATAATTTCATTTAGACAGGTATTCCCAATACTATGTAAGTAAACACTTTTCTACTGATGATGAATATAAATATGCAATCTTAAAGAGATGCTAAGCACTGTTTATAGTTCCTCAAATCCTAAGTGCTCAAGTGACACAAAATTTCTTATAAGCACATATCTATTTTAGACTGTACCAAATATACTAGACAGAATAAGGAAAGAAAAGATAATAAATTAGTTGGTGACTAAATGACACACAGCACATTTCAGAGGTCTAGTGTGTGCATGCTCAACTAATGAGATTTGGCCAAACAGCACACTATTTTAATGACTATTAGGGACAATATTACCCTAAAGCGTCTGTACCTAACACAATACTCCTTCCATCAGCATGGGACCAAATATTGGAGGTAATACCAAGAGGCAGGAGAAAATCAGAATTCATATGATAATCATTGGCAAGGCTCAGATTTATTCAAAGAAAAACCACTGTAGAAATTCAGGTAGATAATGTATATATTCAATATATGTACAGATATATACATAGAGATATAGATATTGTGTGTGAGTATGAGTGTGTACAGTCTGTGCTGTGATACTAAGTACAACCTAAAAATGGGAAAAATAATGATAAATGAACTTCTAATTGTCACATATTTGGCATGTTTCCTGAAAAGGCCAAAGCAATCAAACTCTCATCTGCCAGGGCCTTCACATTACCTTTGTTTGAGACTGATCCATGATGTTTTCAGGTACTCAGTTGTTTCTTTCACATTTCTTGTGTCATCATTACTGTATTCTTCCAACAATTTCTGCAGGACATTATCGAACGCCATTATGATGCCATCACCAGGGCCCAGTTCTTGAAGCAATATCTAAGGTATAATTTCAAGTATAATTGTTAGACTTGCTCACTCAGTAATTAGTATGATCAAAACACTGGGCCATCCCAGTAGGCTGTAATATATTTTGGACACAGATATCAAAAGAAGAAAACAAAGAAGAAAATACTGGTAGGTAAGCTTAAAACAAAACAATCTAGAAGTGAAAAGGAAAATGTCTAAGAAAGTTATCAGGCACTTAACAGATGATATTAAAAGATTATTATCTTTTCCTCCTTGAGCTCCTCCGTTACCTAAAACCACTTGTGTTTTTCATCCTCTCTGCTATTCACCTGATCCTGCAGGAAATCCATCATAAAGGGATGAACTTAGAATTCCTCTACATGTTTAGAGAAATGGAAAAGGCACTAAGAAGGAAGTCTTCTGTCTCTCTCCCCTGGATCTCCGAGTGTCTACAATGTGAAGTGCTTGGAACCAAGCAAGGTTTACTGGGAATTCCTTGAATAACTAAACTTCTGCTAAGCGTATCCATAGATCTTGGTTCCTTGATGTGCTTACTCCATCTCTGAGAGCCCCTGGGTCAAGATACTCCCCAAGAAATCTAAATGACAAATGAGCGTTCCTATAATATTTTACATGGAATGAGTAGCATAAAAATCCACACTGAAATTTCAGAGAACCATAGTGTTGATTAGGAAAGATTATTCTGAATATGATGATTGAACATTTGGACCGCTTTTAATTGTATGCTCAAGTCTTATGTCCAGGACAATCAGCTTGGCTGATTACTACATTTGAGTCATTTAGTACAAACAGCCAGTAAATATAAGTGGGGTAAAAGATCCAGGAAACTGGGACTAGTGTCCTCGTGCCTTTTGGATGTTAACTGTGGAAAGTCTACTTGCTATCAGTTTTAGATTTGTTTCCCATATATTCATTATTATATTCTCCATAAATGTACACTCATCTTAAACTATCTAAAGGGAAAATAAATGGTACACTAAAATATAACCTAACAACCATAACTTCCAATTCAAGAATGACTTCTATGATTGTAGAAAGAATATAAAACAGCACCTTAAAAATACCTTAAGTGCTAAATATCATCCATTCTGATCCGTCATGAAATGGATCGCAAAAAAAGTATCTGCTGTGACGATACTGATAAAATGGTTTAGTTATAAAAGTATCAATAGAAATTAAGATTATTTGTGATTTAATGTCTTCACTACTCAAACAAAAGATTCAGGAAATCTCACAAATAAAAACAACCTTCAGGGTAGAGATGGAAACCAGCAAAAGGAGAGTTTCTGGAATAGTAAAATATTCTTTTTCTAGACACTTGTTCATGGGGGTGTTCCATTTGCAAAGAGTCAGTTCGTGTAAATCTAGGACACCTGCATATTTCTATTTATTACTCCTCCAGAAACTTTTCAAAAACTTCCCTGTCAAATTCTTTATACAAATTTCAATATGTACTCTTAAGAATTTGAAAAAACATCACATCATAAAAAAGTACTAAGCATTACATAACACACAAGTATAGCCAACACACTGATAGTGGCAAAAAATATCTGAGTCTTACCTGATTATCAGAAATCTGCTTGATAAGGGGGTCCCGCCGTGCTTGCTGAAGAATATAGAGCCGAGCCTCATATTTTCTTATCAGCTCTTCGGTCTCCTCCCTGTGGTCATCCCACTGTAGGCTGTCGATGGTCATGTCCTCCAGCTGCTGCTGCCTTAACTCGACTCCATGCTGAGTGCTGTCCCACTGGTTCTTGACCTTTTCCACTGGAGGAGGCATTGAAAAAATAATCCCAGAAAATCACTATTAGGAAATGGAAAAATACCTGATACCAAATGTGTCATAAATAAGTTTACAAATAGAAGAGAAAGGAGACAAGTTGCACATACATTTTAAAGGAATTTTAATACATGCCTGGTATATTATACAACTGATATATTTCTAAAACTATTACTGAAGAATGAAGTTTTGGATTAAACTCTATTTTAAATGTACTAATTCACAATAAAAATAGCTGATAAACCAAATTATAAATAAAATAAATTCCTATCTGGTTAGATGAAGGCAGAGTTTAACAGTGCTTGATACATATACATGCATACAAATTTAAGATGTAAATATAGTCACTTGTCATCCTCAAAAGAGATGCTCTAAGGTAATCTTGATTTTAAAATAAAACCAACCATTTAAATATGCTTTTCACGCTTGTTTTACTGCAAAATGAAATGCTTCTAAAAAAGTATTTTTGTATGCTCAAGTTCTAAAGAAACATTAAAAGTAGATTCAAGTTTTATGAATCTAAGTTACCCAGCAGCTCTTCAACATAAAAAAAAAAATCCATGCTGATTCTTTTCCTCCTTTTTTTCTTATTTTTTTCCCTTCATATGCTCTCTTTCTAGTATCTTTCTCCCCTCTCCTGTCTTCCCCTTCCTTCTTTCATTTTCTCTTTGTTAGCATCAAGTTAAGGAAAAATTTAAAGAAACAAACTTTTGATTGATCATCTTAGGGGGAGTGATCTTGAGGTACCAGAATAGAATCAAAATACCTTTTCATATGGGGAATAGTTGACTTTCTTCCCTTCCCTATGCGGGGTAATAAAACACCTCCCAGTTTATATACTGCCACAAATATTTATGAAGTATCTATTTACATCAGGTACTGTGAGCGCCTCAGGGCCAGAGAGTTGATTATTCACCATGTATGTAGAGGAGAGAATTGAAGTAACTGAGATCTACGAGGTATTTATTGGGGGAAAAGGCTGCCACAGTAACTGAAGGTAGAAAATGTTATAGTTCACGAGGACCAAAAGAGGATAGGGAAGACTTCACAGGGAGAGTGACATTTTAGTTGCTGAGTAGAATTTCACCTGGGGAGAAAAGACCAAGAGGAAAAAAAGTAACACAAATAAAATAAGGAGGCTAGGAAATGTCAGGACGTTTTAAAGAGTATATATAGTACAAAATAGCTACAGACAGGGCCCAGGGCTATACGGAGGGAAAAATGCAGTGGACTCTGATGGTCCCCAGATGACATTCCTGAGAACTGAGACTGTTTTGCGTGCTATACAGATTTTACAGATGCTCTAATGCCAGAGAGCAAATTTCTTATTATTGTTCTACATGTTTTTGTTCCCTTTGTTCTATTTTGCCTCTAAAGTAATTCCAAATTAGTGCTGGGCATATAAGTACATAGTAGTTGCTCAATAAATATTTTGAGAATGAATTTTGAGAAGATGAGTTGAGAGATGGGAAGATGTGGTTTTGTTCCCAGTCTGGAAAATGAGTTCCCTACCCTTGCCCTGTGCATCTTGCTATGCTCCTGTTTATATTTTCTTGCAGACTAAACCAGAAAACCAGACAAAACTGGCCGAAACCAAAACAGAGAGAAAAATAAGACAAGATATTTCTGTTGCTGCCAGGTCATAAGCTGCCAGCTCATGACCACTGTACAAAGCACATCTGCCAGCACTATAACCAGCTGTGTATAAATTGATGTCAATTAATACTTTAAGGAATTTCTAAAATAACTGTTATACAATGTTCACCAAAATAAAAATAAGAGCTACATTTATTAATAAATCACAGCATCACATAACACTAATTACTAGTTGAATAATCTTTGAGTGTATGTGTACTTGAGACAATTTTCAGGAAAACAGGATAACATATAATCTTTTAAACTCACATTTTTCTGTGATTGCTGTTCTCACATCTGAACTGGAAGCTTTATTTTTCAAATTCTGTGCCAATGTGAAAACATAATCAAGCTGAGGATGGCGCTGTTCTAAATCAGCTTTTGTGATCTGTTGAGAAGAAACGATTGCTAAGAACAGTTCAAAAGTGATATAAGAACTCTCATATCTATCAAATTGCTATCTTCCTCCTATAAGGAATAGTGTGACACTGATGATGCAGCAGAGAAAGCAGGATCTGGAGTTAAATGTTTCAAGTTCAAATCTCAGCTCTCCCACTTCTTACCCAGATTTCCAGTAAGGCAATTTATTTCTGTGTCCACAAAAGAAATAATAAACTACTTATGATTCATATATATCCAGTCTGAGGAAATTCAATTGATGAGCATCCCTTTGAAAACTGAAAAAAATGCTCTGAAAATATTAACAAGTATTGCTGTCAGTCATGCCTTGCATGTCTGCTATCAGGTGTGAATAGAAACTAGTGTCACCCACAGAAATGGAGGTGAGTTAAAAGAAAAATGCTAATTTGAAAAATTGCAAATTAAATAACCATAGACATGAAAAGCTATAGCTTTAAAAAGTTACTGTTTTTCAGTACTGATAAATATGGCAGAAAAGTTGACAATATCAGGAAGAGAATGTTTTAAGTATAGAACTATATTTAGCCCTAAAGATTTGAAAACTCAATTTACAGCCAGTACAAATAATTGGCAAAGATTCTCTATCAGCTCTTCCTCTTTATGAATTCAGTCATTTTGCAGGTTTGAATTACTCCCATAGCATCAAATATTATTTCTAAATGGATTATTCACAATTACTAATCCTGAATCCCAGAGAGATATGTCAATGAATGCTGATCATTTCCTTCTAAATGGCCTAAGATCCTCTCGACACAATATATCTGAAATGAAATCAATCAAACCCTCATCCACATCCCTTTTTTTTTCTATTTCTTATTTCCAGTAATTGCAACAGCATCATCTTAGTCACTCAGAAAGAGCTTTTCCTTGTAAGTCTCCACTCCATCCTGCTCACTATTCTCAGTCTCTTACTAAAACTGAGCCTGATTATCATCAGTGTCCAGTCAAAATTTTAAAGAAAGAGTAGGAAAAATAGACGCTTGCCAAGGCTTCTAAACGAGAAGTTCAAATGGGCTTGCTGCCCTGCCACCCCTTCACAAAATGAAGGTGAACTGCCATAAAGCCTCTCACTTCCCACTATACCTCTTTATTGTGCAAATGTTAACTTGGTGTCCCTCATGTTCCCCAACCCCTGTCTGCACTCACTCCACTGCCTATACCAGGGACAGCGCTTTTTTGCCTCTGGATGGCTAAAGCTCACATTGTCCCCTCCAGCCTGGCTCTCCTAACAGGTCCCTGCAGCTGCCCTCTGGCTCCTGTGGTCCTGCCTTGGCACCGCCTGCCTGCATCAGTGCCACAGCCTCTGCCTGGGATGCCTGTAACCTGGGAACAAAAACAATACCTATCTCACGAGTTTTTCAAGAAGTGAATGAGATAACAGATGTAAAATACTTAGGAAAATACTTAATAAACACTTAATCAAAGTTAGTGATTGGACATTCCCAATTTCTATCGCGTGTATTATTTTCAGTAATCCTATAGAATACAAACAATGGGGAAGAGGGGATTGTGTGGGAGGGAAAACTTCACAAATTGAAGTTAGATGGTGTATATGTATAGTCATAAATTTAGAGTTAGGAACTTCTCTCTTCCAAGTCAGCATTTAGACAAAAAGCTCATTATAAAGTGTAAGTTGGAAAAAGTGAGTCGAGAAATCACCTGACATCATCAAAACTAGGTGTAATGGTAACACCAGTTACTTTGATTCTTATGTGCCCAGATTGAGATCAGTTTTACAATTTAAAAACACAGAGTCCATAGTTCCAGCTGGTGAACCTGATCTTCCCGAAACAGGACAAATGCCAAAAAAGCTTCACATTGTCCAAAAACATTGTGCATCTCCAAGTACGGAGCAAGCTCAGGAAGGCTGTTTGAGAGAGAGTGAA